GGTGGGGAAGGACAATGCGGGGCGTTCAAGCAGCAAGAAAGAAACTGTTCAGGAGGGCAGCATGTGCATCAGGGCCTGGGATTAAACTAAGCTGCTGCGGGCCACGATGCTCCCAGCTTGCCTCCCCTGGGCCCCGGAGCGCTGCCGACCACCGGCCTGGGTGGTCAGGGCCGGGGGGCACGGGCACAGCACTGCATCAGAGGGAGGGGAGCCTCCAGCATCAAGAAATTTGGTGTTTTCTTCAGCGAAACCCACCCAATTTCCCCCCTGTGGCAGTGGGTAAAGCCAGGAGGTCCTTCTGTCCTGATGAACCCTCCAATGTGGCAAAGGAGCCCTTGCCTGCTGCTCCTGTCTGATGATGTTGCTCCAGAGCAGGCCCCCAGGACAGACCCAAGGCTCAGCAACAAGCCCTCCACGGGCCTGTCTGTCTCAAAACCCCATCACTGCGGGCTCTGAACCCCTTAGTCTGGAGTTCCCCTCTGGATCTTGCTGCCTTTTTCCCCGTTTTCCTTTCTTGCACATTTTCTCCACAGTGAGCTGTGTGGGTGGGCTGTAACCTTATCTAGGTGGGGTTTTCGCTGTTGTTGGGATTTTTGGATCCTTTAGCTTCAGAGAGAACCTTGGAAATGAAGATCTTGGGTTTCATTTTGACCCTAGTTTAATGGAAACTGATGGAGGGAGTAGAGGGCTGATGTGTCCACAAGACCCACGCAGCTGCTTTAGTGCGTGGCACCAACATGACCGAGGTGTCACTTGTGACACGCAGAAGTACCAATATTCCTGCTTTAACAGTAGAGAAATGAAGCGCACTGTCTTGCCCAGGGCCATGCTAAAAATCTGGGATTAGGGGGAAAAAAAAAAAAAAACAACTTTGATTTTCAGAAGGGGAGGCAGCACCTGGACTCACCTGCTCCCAGACCCTGCTCTCCCCTGCGAAACCAAGCGCTCGCTGCCTGCTGGCTCGCCCTCCTCATCGTCGCCGCTCGCTTCATTTCCCGAGCTGACATCATCCTGCGGGCAGCAAGGTCCCGTGTGTCCTGCAGGAGCCACTCTTCCCGGGTTACCTGAGGGCACGGCAGGGCTGAACAGCAGCCCTACAGAGGCAGCGAGCACACTGTGCCCGTTGATTTCCTCCCGTGTGCAGGAGGCGAGCGAGGCAGACTTGTGGCGGCTGCTGTTAGACATCAGGGAGGAGCATGGCCGGGCGGTTGGCGTAGGGACCGACAGGCAGGAGTATGGGGGTGCACTCACAGCCCTGACACCGGCCTTGAAGGCAAAATGACATGACCCTGTCTCCTCATCCCTAACAGGGGCATCAGGATATTTAACCGTCAGTAATTCGGCATCTGCTCGTTTCTTTGTGCCCTGCCTTCCTGGCTCAGCTGCTTTGGCTACTGTGGGGCTGGCTGGCTAAAGGACATGCAGAATTAGGGGCGCTGAGCACTCGTGAGGGACTGTGGAGGGTGAGCAAAGCACACGAGCCCCTCAGCACTATGTTCAAGTTGTGTCCATCCCTTTTACCCAGGGGCTGTTCTCCTTTCTTCTTCTCCTCTTGGACTTTGTACCTTTCCCTGACGGATATTCCCTGCTGGAGCATCCCTCCTGGTTTTGGTCCTGGCTCCATTTCTCTGTGTTCAGCCCTGACTCACAGCCCATGTCCCCTCCGTGTCCCCTCCGTGTCCCCTCCTTGTCCCTCTGTGTCCCTGAGTGTCCTCCTTGGTGCTGGCCATGGAGCAGCTCCCCAGAGGCTGGCTGAAGGCTGTGTCTGCAACAAGGATGGGGAGGGGAAGGAAAGAAGGCAAAGAAGCAAACCTAAATAAAATCAAGGTGAGGAGGAAAGTGAGTGGAAGGGTGCTTGGGCTTGGGCAGGATTCACCTGGTGAGAGAGGACGCAGGAGTGGTGCTGGGTCTGAAACGGAGCTGAGGAGCTGGCCCAGGAGCAGCTGGGCACTGGGGGTTATATAGGTGGGTATTTCTGCCCGGTATGGAGCTATGGCCTGAAACAGAGGATGCAGATTAACTGAAAAGCAGTGCCAGGAGGCGAGGAAGGCTCTGGGACAGTGTTTACAGCCCTCCTCTTTGGTATAGGGCGAGGGTGGCCAAGAATAACCTCCCCTAGCACTGTTAGTGGGGTGAGCAAGTTGGATTTTTCCATTTGCCCTGTGTGTGGCTCTCATCCTCGTCCCCTGACTCATGCCAGCCCAGACAGGCTCCTCTATTCACCCCGTCCCAGCTTGCGGGGAGGAGGCTGAGGCAGAGGAAGGACTGTGCGCACCCGCGGACACTTCGGGGCGGCAGTCCCTTCCTCGCCGCTCTTCCCTCCTGAAAGCCACACTGTTTGTCTTCAGGTCTGGGTGCCCAGGCAGAGGGCTGGCAGCCCTGCAGCATCCTGAGGGCAGGACACACGGGATGGAGCAGGGAAGCAGGGCTGAAACAGGCGGCCAGCTCTGCAGGGATCTTTTTTTTGATGTGTGCAGCTCTGCTCCACGCTCCCTCGGCCACTGGAATTACACCGGTTTTCCCAGCCAATTTTCCACGTCCCTTAGTGCTGAGGCTGGTTCGTGACATTAGTTCTTGCTGTGCTGAGGTGGGCGAATGAGCTGCTGGTGTGGGTCTGGTTGAAGAAAGCCAACGGTGGCAGCCCACGGGCAAAGGGAACAGAACCAGAGCGAAACTCGGAGACACGGGCAGTGGGAAAGAGGGGTTTAGAAGTAAATTGGCCTAAAACACGTTCCACCAGGGAGCTGGGGATAGAAAGTCTGAGGGAGATCAGGGGGATTGAGAGTAATTGGCCATTTTTCAACACGGCGCTGGTGGGATGACATGAGAGGTGGGATGGGAGATTTGGGGAGATAGACAAAGGAGGGGCTGGTCTGGTAGGGTAGTTTTGAGCTTCCCAACAGCAATACATTTTTCTCCCCAAATTGGCCCCCAATTGCCTGATAAGCCTGGGGTCTGCACTGCAGCAAGCACCTGCTGAGGGCCCTCCAGGATGCTAAAGACAGAGAAAGAGGTTTCCTTTTAGGCAGGATCACAGGCTGAGGAGAAACCAAGGAACTGGTTAATTAGAGCCGAGACCTCAACAGGATGTTCAAGACAGAGCTCGGGGCAGGCTGACCTCCAACACATGCTGACGAGCCCTCCTGAAAGCCCACGGTGCTGGGGAAGAGCTGGTGCTGCCTTCCAAGAAGTGCCAACGTGCTGCAGGAGGAGGCTCACAGACCCTGGCTGCCCGTGGCTGCCTCCTGCTTTGTTTCCGACCTCTGCAGAAGCCACAGCACCCGCTGGAGCCACAAGTGCCAGCAGAGAGAGAGCAATAGAGAAAAATACAGACATTAAGCTTCGATTAGAGTTAAATTTCCCCTGTGCCCGGCTCTGGCATCCTGCAGGGGAGCAGGGTGAAAGCCCGCTCAGCCCTTGTGAGCAGGAGGCTGAGGAAGGGGTCTTTTATTTGGGATCTGCTGCAGGTCTGGAACCACAGATTGTGTTGAGCTGGGTCAGTGGGTGCTAACCCCAAACGCTGGGGTTTGTGCAGACCTGGGGTGTGAGCTGGGTTAGCGGGGATGCTCTGCTGGCTGCCTGTGATTGCCTTCAGGCCATGAATAAGGAGGGCAGGAATTTCACATAAGCTCCAGTCTCGGTGGCATCCCGGATCGCATCGCAACCTTCGGGTGAAAAGCAGAGCGGTGTTTAATTGAAGGTGATTTGCTCAGCTCTGTGTTTGGAGCAGAGAAGAGGCAGATCTGGTCACCTTGTCCTGGCTGCCGGTGACCGCAGGCATCTGGCAGGGACTGGGCTGTGCGGGAGGACTGGAAGTCCTGCTGCTCGCCGCACAGACTGCCCTTGTTCGGCAGGGCTCAGGTACGGCCCTGCACCTCGCTGCACGCTCCCCAGCTTGGTCGGCCAGCTGCTCTCTCCCTGCATCCCTCCCTAGGTCAACAGGCTCCTGTGCCAGCTGCTTTTGTACCTTTTTTTTTTTTTTTTTTTTTTTTTTTTTTTTTTTTCCCAGTAAAATTCAGCAGATATCTATTGCTGATTCCTTTAAGAGAATTAAATGGGAGATAAACTGTTATCCGCGTGGCCTGAGCACAGCATCATTGCACTTAGCTGGTGCAGAGAATCAGCTACAGCCACCCTCTGCATCTCAGAGGGTCCTGCTGGTGTACCTGAAGGCTTTAGGAGAGGTTCTTCAGAGGCAGGGGCAGACTCGCCGATGGGTCAGGGGGTGCTGTGACTCCCGGCCATTCCCACTGCCCTCCCCAGCTGTGGCCGTACCCCCTAACCAGGAGTTTCTGTGCTGTAGAAGCAGAATAGTACTGGGAATTTGACCAACATGAAATGGAAAATCATCTGTAAATGATGCTAAGGATTAGTGTGGTTGCAGGTTGGTACGTGGTGGGAGATGGAGGCTGTGGTGCTGTCTCTCCATGGGGTACCTACACCCCGGCAGGAGGAAGGATGCTCTGTTTAATCCTGTGTTGTCCCACAATAGCTTTCCTCAGTTCCCTGCCTTTTGGCTGGTGGGCAGGAGCTGGGAGCTAATGTGAAAATCACATCGGAGGCAGGGGAGAGCCCTTCTTCTCCCTCTGCGTTGCTGCATGAAGCCCCCTGACATGGGATCTGAATTCTCTGATTTCTTACACTGAATAAGCTTAAGAAAATAAGGGCATGCCTCCGATGCTGCTTGGCGTGCCTTGACACTGGGATGAGTCTTATCCCAGGGACCAGTCCACCCCACGCTGCAAACAGGGCTGAGGGCTCTGGTTGCTGGCTCAGGATCCAGAAGCTGCTGGCTCAGGGGAGACACTCTGTGTCCCTGACCCCAAAAGCTGTCCTGGAGCTGCTGGGCTGGGGAAGCGTTTTATGAACTAAGGCAAACTAAATCTGGTTTTACACAGTTCCCTCCAGTCTCTCTCCCGCCTGTTGACAGGGAGGAAATGCTTTTCACATGCCAGCTGGTGACACTGCTCCATTATAAATTGCTCCCCTCCTGTTTTCAAGGCACGACTGCAAAACGCAGGGAGAGCTCTCGGAGGTCTGCACCTTTTGGGCATCTGCTGGTGCTGAGGCTTGCAGGTTTGTACGGGTTGCTGATAGCTTTGATTTTTCTCCTGCACAGGCTCAGAAACCTCAGGGCTGTCCAAGCAACCCCTACTTCATCCTCTGTGGGTGTCGGGGTGTTGGATGGGAACGGCGTCAGCCCAAGGTCCATTTTTCACATCTTTGAAAGGATGAGGCCACTTGGACTTTATAGCTTTATAACGCTGCTTCTGCGTGCCAACAGAGAACCCCAGGCCCAGTGACGATGCCGTGCCACTAGCAGCAGCTTCTGCCTGATGTCCTGACGTCCCACGACACCTCCAGAAGGTGCAGGGATGGGTGTCCAACCCAATGCAGCTCAGTGCCAAAATCTACAGCATGGGGTGTGTGTGTGTGTGTGTGCACAGTGCATGCATGTGTGCACGGTGCCTGCAGGAGGAGGGCTGCCTGCACTCACCGGTACTTTTCCATCCTCCCCGAGGCTCTGCCTGCCGGGGTGGGAGCTGTCTGTAGGGCCGAAGCCAAGCCAAGAAGTGTCCCATGAAGTGGCCAGCCCTCCTTTGCCTGAAGCCACCTTTGCAGCAGCAGCGTTTTCCCCGCTCCCACAGTCACCTTTGGTTTCATTTTTCTCTCCCAGCTAGGCCGGGCAGGAAAGGCAGCCAGCAGGCCGGTGGAGATGGAGATGTCAACTGCAAGGGGAGAGGCAGGAATTTAGCAGCCCCTGGGCAAAGCCAGCACATCTGAAGGGCTGGCTGCCATTTGCACACCTTTGTGGATTCCAGGCCTGCTGCCACAGCTTAACTCCTCCAGTGCCGGGCTGCCACAGCCGCAGGTACCCGCGGCCTTCTTACCCGCGGCCTTCTTCTCACTTCCCAAAGACACCTGCCTTGTCAGTTTTCCTGACCCGAGGTTTAGAAAGGCAGTGAGTAAAGGAAACATGGGTATGAAAGTTCCCCAAGAGCAGTGACAAGCTCTGTGCCTTATTGCTGAGCCTGGAGTGATCCGGGGGGGTTTTGGTCCCTGTACAGCACCTATAAGCAACGGGTGCCTTCAGCTGGCAGTGCTTTATTTCATACCGTGACACTTCAAAGCTGTAAAAATAATCGAGAAACATTATGAATTGCTTATTAAACGGAACTGAAAAGACATCCTGAGGAATTACTTTAGCCATGAGGCCTTGTTAGCCCATCCCCAGAGGCAGCTGGCGCACTGTGAGTGGAGTTTGGTGTAAAATCCTGCAGGACATAGCTGGCAGCATTACACAGCAGGCATCTTACAAGGCAATAGGCACTTTGAGGAGGAAAGAGAGGGGTGTTATCCTGCTCTTTTGCTAAATTCAATGCACCTGTTAAAGGGCTGGACTGAGCCCCGAGGCTTAGCCCGGCCTAGCGTGGTGTAGGAATGGCCACCACTACAAGGCCTAACCCTGTCGAGGTTTCCTTGCTGCCTTGCACAGCAGTGAGATTTTTCTTCTCCTTGGGCAAATCCCTCGTGCCCAGCTCTATAACAGATTTCAGCCTGGCTGCATCACACAGCCTCTGCATTTACATGATGAGGCAGGGGGAGAGCCGGGGCCAGGGTGCCCCAAGCGAGCCGCATTTCCTGGAGAGGAGCAAACAAACCGAGCCACCGCTGCCTCGTTTCACCAAGGCATGCCAACACCGGCTTACGCACGCGCTGCGAGTGGAAAGAAACAGCAGCGAGGTTTGTTTTCTCGCAGGAGAAAAATAATCAAAACCAGCCCTGGATGAGAAACCCCACCGCGAACAACATGGCGTTTTGTATTCCGGCTGGCAGTCGCGAGGCCAGAAAAACACGATGTTCTCTGGAGTGGACAACAGAAAGCTGACGGAAAGCAGCAACCGAGGAGCTCCTCAGGCCAGCATTCCCGTGGATCAGTCCCCTCCGCTCTGTCCTGCCTCTCCTGGGTCTGCTCCTTGCTGTGCATTTCTTCCCCTCTTTGCTGCCCCGAACGCTGCACGCTGTACGGCTCCTGCTGGGAGACAAGGGAGGAGCTGTGTGAGAGCCAATTGCTCTCTGTGAAGGGATTCAATGCAAAAACGAGGAACGAAAAGGAGGTCAGGGCCAGGCGGCCAAAGCAAACGCACGTAGCAAATGCAGGGGGAGAAGAAAGGCTTGTAAGATCCCTAAACGGGTGGAAACAGGGCTGTGTGTTTGGGGGAACAGCCTGGCCATGTTGGGGGAACACCTCTTCCAGCCACGCTGAACTGAGCTTCTTCTGCAGGAATTGTCCTACATGATTGTGAGGATCTTCTGCATCATCCCAGCCAGCCCAGGGGTTACTGGTGTGCCACGTCAGTTCTTTACTGGGACTCCAAATTCATCGACTGGCCATCAGCAACCAGCCCCTGACTGTACAAGATTTGCATTTAAAAAACAGGACAATAAGAAAGGGCTTCTGCTTACACATTTCCTTCACAAACAGCTCTTTGGGCTACCATGTAGACCATCATCAGGCTTGCAAATATTTTTGTGAGCTCCCAGTGGCTGGAGGAGTGTGTGGGTTCAACAAATATGAATTACAGCAAATGGGACTCGGTGCCTTTCTGGGAGAATAGCTGTCTACCCACCAGCACAAGTAGCGAAGCAGGGAAGCAGCTTTCCTCTGGAGTGTTGATCCTTCCCTGCTTTCACACTGGCCTTGTCCAAAAGCCATCATGGTCTGGTTGTATGTTTGGTGAGGTGAGTTGGGGAACGCCAGGTTTGGTGTTGTGTGGCTGATCTGGCAGAGATTCGGCAAAGCGATGGAGCAAGGTCACCCTGCACGCTCCGAGTTCTTCCTGCACATCCCCAACAGGGATGTGAAGTGCAAAATGCTTGTGAAATGCAAATGGGACACAAACTGGTAAGGAAGTGGGGCACCCTGGTTTCTGCCAGCTGCGGGTCTGATCGCTAGGACACAGCTAATGTATTAGAGAAAACAAGAATTTCAGCTTCCAGTAAGACAAAACAACATCAACAAGATAAAAAACACAACAAATGGAAAAACAAAAGAGGGAGATTGTATGCCTACACCTGTATCGGTGAATTGAGGAAAAGGGAGCTGGTGCTGGCTTGGGTTTTAAGAAACCACTAAGGAAGGTGATTTCTCCATCATGCTCTAATGAGAAGCATGCATCTCCTGTGCCAATATCCATCAGGTAAAATAATGTGAGCTCCAGATCACTTGGGAGGAAATGAAATTGTTAGAATAAAAGATCGGCATGGGATTCGAGCCCCTCAGTGGAAGTAAGCACATTGGCTCTCCTGGGGAATTAATTTAGCAGATGGAAATCCTTAACCTTAAAGATAAAGATCATGTCTCCAAAAGAGGGTAAAATCTTTATTATTATTATTATTTCTGTCAGCTTTCAAACATGCTACTCTTTGTAAAACATGAGGGCAATATTCCTTTACAGGTGGCTCCCTCTTTCTCTTTTACAGTAGCCCCGGGGCTGTTTGTCCTGTTACCTACATATGTGGAGGGAATATATCTAACCACAGGGAGAGGGTGATGAGATCACACAGGAAGGATGCTGGTTTTGGCTAAGATTTGATGGATGTAACAACAGGCTGTGGGATGGCTGCAGCAGCGACCGAGCTGCCTACACACCCAGAGGGGCTGCCGGGGGCATCGTGGTGCCCAGAGCAGACTGCAGCTTTGGAGATCCACAGCATGGCAAACAGCTGGTCATGTTGCAGTTCCACATTGCAGGAGAAAAGAGAAAAAGAAAAGAAAATTATACTGCTGGCACACTCCCCCTACTCGTCCTCACGTCTGGTCTGCCACACGGTCTGGTTTCCACCATGGGGAAAGCCACGTTGGCGTTTATTTTCCAGTTTGTGCTTGCTGATAGGGAACCAGATGCAGAATGTGTTTCAGGACAGAAGCTGAGCACCGTCCCTGTCCGTGCAGGGCTTTTCCAGGAGCGGGGCCGTGGGAAGCGAGTGCCACTTCCCCGTGCTGCTGCGGCTCTGCGCCCACTGCCGCCTGCGTGCTGCGGGCTCCGTCGCAACAATTAGCATGAAAAGGGGAAAGGAGAGAAAGCAAAGCCTGGGGGAACGCATCCAAAGAAGCGAAAACGCCAGTGCGGGCCAAGAGAGATTTTCTCCAGCCGAAAATCTGTCGTGCTCGCTCTTGAGCTGGCAGAGGGCTGGCGGGCTGGAGCCGCGCCGCTGGGTGAGCGGCTGAATGCGTCTTTCTTTCCCTGCTCCTCCTGAAAAAAAAGCACAAGGGAGCCCAAAGCAGGGCAGAGAGACGTACAAATCCCGTGTGTAATCCTGTTTTTTTTTGTGGAGTCAGCCCCGTGTGTTTGACTCACCTTGGATAACTCACCGCGGGGTGGGACGGATCCTCCCGTCCCCACCCCAAAGCCAGTTTGGGGAGGTTTTGGTTGTTTGCCCCAGGCGGGACACACGGGGAGCATCCAGAGCTGGCACCAGGCTGGCCGTGCTGTCCTGGGGACTGCCTGCCCCTGGGGGACCCCCTCAGGAATTTAACCTGGTGTCACCTGCACAGAACGTGACTCGGAGAGACAGAAGGAGAAGAGGATGGACCTCCAACCTCCGCTGCGTCTCCAGCTGTTCCCTAGCCATTTCTTCCCGGAACAATTAAGACCAGAGAGCTTAATTAGAGAAGATTCTGGTTTATATATTTACATAGGATTTTTGTTCTCAGGCTAAGCTCTCCACAGAAAGTTACATGGAAGTGCGCAGGCACAGCACACAGGGAACGGGGAAAGCCAACAGAGCTGGCATATTTACAAGAATTAGGCTTTTAAAAATTATTCTTATTTTCTCTGTGGAAAGGTCCATTCTTAATTCATTTAGGACGACAGGAATAATTAAAAAAGAAAAAAAAAAAAGCCCTGAAAGGCCAAGAATAGGAGAACATTTTTTACATAAAGTCAATATTCTGAGTTTGTTTTCCTGGGACAAATGTCCGAAGGAGGTGAAGGCAAGTGAAAGCTTGTGTTTGTTTTGTATTTTTCTCATTTAGAAGAAGGGTTTTGTCACAGTGTGTGGCAGGAGGTCTGCAGTGGGGCGGTGTGGGGGCCTTGACACCAGTTCTTTTGCTTTTCCACCTGCTGCAGAGTGAGGATCCCCTACTAGATGAAGGCTTGCCGTGCCTCCCCGTGCCCTACCCTGAGCGCACTGCCACCCGCTCCCAGCACCAGAGGAAGGGCCAGCAGCTATCAGGAGACCCGTCTGCTTTCCCTGGGCTCCTCTCAATGTATATCATCGTGGTGTGAGCCCACATAAAGCTGCTTGGCCCAAAAAGCTGCTGATGCCCCTGCCATTAACGCCTATGGAAAACCATCGGAGTGCCATGGGGGAAATACTGACCCCCAGAGCCACAGAGGGAGGATAACAGCTATAGGAACATCTGTGCTGCTGTGAAGCCTTATGAGGAAAAATGCTTTAATCCAGGAGTACCCGTACGTACCTCTGGCCTTTCAGCAGGAGGTGGCTCTTTGCATATCAGGATCTGTGATTCCTTGGAGCTGCAAACGGCCAAGCTGCAGGGTGGAGAACCTGGGGAATGTGATCTGAAGAGCCAGCTCCCCACAATGCTTCAGCTGGGAGATAGGATTACACTTAATTCCCTGCATCTGAATGCTTGCACAATTTTTTTCCATGAAAGGAAAAGAAAAGTCCTGGTCTCCCCTTGCCTTATCTTCTCCTTGTCCTCACCCCGGGATGCTGCAGTGCTACCGTGTCACCCCCTGGGGATCTTCCAGCTCAGGGTCCTTCTGTGTGCCCCATACTCCCTGAGGTGCCATGGGGGTCCTGTAGGGTGGGAGCAGCCCCGGGCCAGCAGCAGGCTGCTGCTAACCCTGAGGCATGGCTGGGGCAGCGAGCGGCATCCAGGGCTGTTAGCCACTCAGTTACTCCTCGCAGGGCAGGGCAGATCACCTCGGTGTGAAAATTATTCAGGGGGTTTTATAGCATTTTTCAAATAAACATGCAAGGCAGACTATTTTCATTACTTTCCCAGCCTCCTGTAAAATTTGTCGACGGAGTGCTTGGGGAACAAATTAACCCTGTGCGCCTGGCCCGGAGAGCTCCTGGCCCTCACTGCCAGCAGAGCTGCAGGGTGTAAGGGGTTCCTCCAACCCTTCATTACAGCACCAGCCAGGAGGAAGGCTGGCTCTGAGAAATGTGCTAGGACAGGAATTCACAGCCTCCATGAGTCCCAGGATGGCTGTGGAAAAATATATCAATATATCAGTGCTGTCCAGGCTCAAAGGAGGAGGTGCCTCCATGGGGAGCAGGCATTGGAAGACCCTTCCCGTGGGGAACTCCCCTGGGATGGAGGAGAAACTCTTCCTGGCCGTAAAAGAGAGCATTTCATCTCGGTGTGTGTGCCATGGGGTGCCTGGTTTATGGTGGGCGAGCTCATTGACGGGCTGGGGGATGAATGCCCCACTTCTGTGGGGGCAGCCAGGTAGCAGCATGGGGCCAGCTGGGACCTGAAAAGGTTCAAAGATCCCCCAGCGCACCAGGCAGCTCTTCTGCTAATGGGGCTGCTCAAATCATTTTACATAATGTTGAGAATGCCCTTTAATTAGCACTGCCTATTTCTCTTTGTCCCTTTGGTGACAGAGACACATTCTCGAGCCTCTTCCCTTTCATTTCTCCCCATTTCCTCTCCCCAGAACTCTTTCTTTTTTTTTGATGTGCTTTCACTGATGCCAAAACCACCAACGGTGTTCCTCTGCAGGGCTAAATGTGGGAAGAAAAGCTTGTGTGGTGGCCGCCATCCTCGGCATGTGGAGAGAAGGTCCAGAAGCCGAACAGATCCTGCCTGGTGCGGGGCTGGGAACCAGCCATCATCTCAGCCCTTGGCCGAGGCTCTCAGACCAAAGACGAGCAGGAACAGGCAGACTGAAAGGAGAGCTGCTCTCAAAAGCTCTTCTGTCCGATATATGCTTTTCTTTGCTGCTCTGAGTCAGTATTTGGTCTTACACTTTTGCTTTTCCCAGCCCAGCTAGGAGTGGAAGCGCTGGAGTTCCTGAGTACTTGGTAGCGAATGTGACTAAGGAATAAAAACAGTGATTCACGCGTGTGTTTGTGAGCTTGAGCCCTCTGTTTGAATTGCTGCTATTTATGGGTGGTGGAACCTTGTCTTCTGGGTGAAAATATTTGCAAACCCCCACATTACTTAAGCCTTAGTGATCTTCTGTTCACATGTCCTTGCCATACAGGTGCTATTTTTTGTTGTTGTCTTTTAGACTGATTTTCTGTTCTCTGGTCAGAAAGGAAAAAAACAAAACAACAACAAAAACCAAACAACTCACAAACAAAAGTAAACCCAGGCCAAAATCAAAACTGCATCCATTTCAGCATCTAAATGTCGCCGTGTAGAGAACACACTGGAAATAACAACCAAATAGTCCTTATCCCAAAAACCATCAGAGAGAGGTTCATCGGTAGGTGCTCTGGAGCAGCAGTCTCGAAGTTGGGGTCACTCCACCAGAAAGCTGAAAAGGCTGTGCCTTACAAATAACTGCTCGAAGAGCAGGCAGCTGCTCCTGTGGGAATTCCCAGCATATCAGCCTCCGAGCTTTTCCAGTAGTGAGGTGCTCCAGTTAGCAAATCTCGTCTTTTCATCATGACTGACTTCTCCTCCTCCTCCACAAGCACCTAGCCCCCATCTCTGATGTAACCCAGTCACTGTACTTTTTGGATTACTTGGGTTTAAAAATAATATTGAGCTGTGGCAACTCCAAATGTGTTTTCCATTAAAGCTGCTTGGCACGGTGGTTTCCCTTCTGTCTCACCCTTTGGAGCACTGCCTTACGCTTTACCCACATCCAGGTTCAGGCCGTTGAGACGTCTGAGCCCAAGCACTTTGGGTGTATAATAGAAATAACTCTGGATAATGGCTCTATATTTAAGAAGTAGCTATACACGCTATGTGTGCGGGCTATTAATGAGGTCTTTGGCCACAACTACTGAATATAGTCACCTATGTTCTAGTAAGAGAATAGCACATTCTGTTAGCAGTCAGTTCCTTGACATCTCTGCAATGAAATTTGTTTGGGCTACATGGGCTGCATGGGAGCTGCAGCTCGTGCCAGAGGGGCACAGACCTCAGCCAGACTGACCACAGCCCCCTGGGATGGATGGCGTAGGCACAGGCCTCTGAAGTAAGAGCAGATTTGTTCTGATTTCTTCCAACGTCACCAAATTAGTCTTGTCATCAGTCCACACGGATGCTACGGTCGGGGTGGGAAAAGAAATAATCAGATTTATTGAATCCTTTTGTCTCCTCTGAGTTTACAGTTGGGCTTTTGTTCTAGTCTCTCTCGCTGGTATTTCCTTGGCAGCTCATGAGGGATTTCTTTTTTTGAATGATCGAGCTTGTTTTGTGCCAAAGGAGAAAGGAGAGACAACCATTCTCCAAAGCTCAGGAAATGTGACATCACCCAAAATGCAGACCTAGCTTTTTGGCGGCCAGGTGGTAAATGAAATATTCTCAGCAGTCTCAGCATCTCCACTTGCAAGGAAATTAGAAGCAGAAAGTTGGGATGACAGCCCTTGGCAGCTCTATTCAACTTGGGGTTGGGACGCTAAAAATACCAGCTTGGCAAGACTGCGAGAGAGAATAATAAAAAGGCCTCAATTTTGCCAGAATTGTGGATTTCTGCAGAAGCTGTGAGCGGAGACTCACACTTCGCTTGACACAGTCTGGCACTTTGGTAGCTCGTCGGCCCGGGGATCTCAGAGCTCCCGTTATCCCAGCCAAACCCAGCCGCATCTCGGCAGGGCTGGCGTAGAAGCAGGGGAAGCTGGCAGATAACGGGCATTTTCCTCCGCATCCAGACAGGCTCCAGAGCATGGGACCTCACATACGTCTAACGGCCCGGGTCGCAGATAGGCTAATTTTTAGAGGCGCGTGTTTCCGTCTGAGCAGTGAGCACAGGCACTGGGTTTTTAACAGAGCTTAACACTTGGAGAAACCAAAACGTGGCCAGCAGCCTTGTAGCGGGACAGCTGGATGCTTCTGGAAGGCAGAACTTTGTCCCCAAAAGGTCTGCTGCTCCCTGTCCCCTGCACCGATGGGAACCATGATTTGTGCCGCCGCAGGGTTTGCCAGGTGATGTTTTATGGCCTGGGTGCACACAGGGAGGTCAGGCTGGAAAAGCCACCGGTTCTGGTCTTAAAATCTTTTCCCCTGTGCATTTCTCATGTCTGAATGTTCTCATCAGCTTGACACAAGCTGTTTGTCTTAGGAGGGGATTTGGCAGGCTCATGTTGCTGTTTGGTACCTGCAGCGTGCCGAACAGGAAGGCAGGCAGTTCCCCAAGCCAAAGAGGGACAGCACAGAGTCCTGCACTTGGAGATTTGCTCCAGACAGACACCAAAGCTGCCAAAGTAACACCATGTACCTGGTCTTTCACAACAGGGACAGCACAGATGGCCAAAACCGCATCCCATATCCATGGTATAATTCTGTCATAACCTCTGGATATTATGAGCCCATCTCCTAGGAGCGATTCCTAGGGGAGATGTCAGCTGAAACACCTGAAAGAGCTGTCACTACCTCTTAGCAGTGATATTAACATATCCCGTCCCTGCAGAACAAGGGTGACCTTCAGCTGGGAGCTGAAACCATCACAGAAATAAGAGAGGACCCATAAGCAGGTTGGCGTTACCCAGCCTGTTCTCCAGGCTGCATGCCACCTGGGGAAGAGGTCTTAGGAGAGAGGGATGGACGCACCCAGCCCTGATTTTGGTACCATAACCACCCCATGCAACACAGCATGTGTGCCACAGATCCCCTGTCCTATCATGCCTGTACAGTGGAATTTTTATTTTATTTTATTTTTGGTAATGGAGCTGCAGCAGCATCACAAAACCAGGGCAGAACATCAAAAGCCAGGTGTGTGGCCAGAGCAAGCAGCTGGGTTAGCTGCTGATGCTGAACACTGCTCCCCAGCCACAGCTGGGTGCAAGTGGAGAGAGCATCTCAAGGCCGCTCAGAGTTTGCTGGATACTAGACTTTTTTTGTCAATTTCAACTTTTTTGTCAGGTGTATCTGTGATACCTTTCTTTAGGACAAACCTGTGGGTGACTGTTTCTGCTTATTTTTAGATGAGAGCCTGTATGGAAATGTTCTTCGCCTCCACTTCAGGGCCAAGTTCAGCAGTGGAGGAAAGCACTGAGAAAAAAGCAGAGAGAGAAAATAAAAAGCCTGGCTCTTAGCTCCCACACATGCAAGAGGACCCGAGAACCAGGTAGAGCCTTCTCGTGTCGAGTCCTTAAAAGCTTCATTGTGATGCTTTTGCAAGAACATATTTATTTTGTTTCCTGAGCCGTATGAGCAGGGCATTGTATCTGCTGGATTAAGGCAGCTCTGTGCTGCTCGGAGAACTATGAAATCCCTCCTCTGTCAGGCTGAAGTGAAAGGATCCCATTCATCTGGGCGCTCCCGCCCGGTGGGGTCTGCTTAGCATTCATCCCCGAGCGCGACTGAGCTCCTGCTGCTGTCTCTGGCCCGTGCCGCTCCTCTCCCACCTCCCCCTGCCCCACAAGCGCCGGCAGCCAAGAGAAGAGAATAGGGAACCTCGCTCACGGGTGCTCATCGGCATTCAGTGGGCGTTTGCCCCAGTGCCCTACTTCAGGCCGGTGAAGGCTCTTGGCCCCGCTGCGTGCCAGCGACGTGCAGAGCAGCAGATCCAAGGGCCGGGGAACCGCGGGAGAGCAGCCGCCAGTGACGACATGTGAATCAGCATCATCCGCAGCACGGGCACGGCCGGGGCAAGCGGGGAGCCGGGGCCACGTGCAAGAACGTGCAGGTGTCTCTCTGTGAGCACGGAGGTTGGCACGTGGAGGGGGATGTGCACAGGAGCTGGAGGAGACACGAGGGGATGGAAATCGGCTCGGGGTTGCAGATGTGTGGGAGAGATCAAGGGCTTGGCCAGTTTCCGCTTTCTTCTCCCGTGTTTGCTTTAATGGTGACCGGCCGTTGGGTTTTTGTTCATAGTTTGGATTCCTGATACGAAGCCAGATGCTGTTTATTTGCTCTAATTTTTCTTCCCTAACATCTGTCTAGGGTCTGACCTTTTTTTCTTTCCAACTACTGGCTAGAGACAGTGTTAGGGGAAAATTGATAGGACAGTTCTTGAGAATTATGCATTGTCCAAGCCAGACACAAAGCAATGTTTCCTTCCTTGCTTAAATCCTGTCCAGATGAGATTGGACCCATGCCTGAGGCATCTGTGCTCAACAAAGCTCCCAAATCACTTGTACCTCGGAGATAAGGACAGCCCTAAATCAGCCCAGATCACGGAGGATGCGGGGCTGAAAGAGCAGCCGGTGCTTGGGGTGTTTTCTCTGGATGAGAATGGCTGTTTCTGTCTGCACATGAATCTCCAGCCTGGTGGAGTGAAACCTGGCATTAGAATATGGTTTGGTGAGTACAGGCTAGACCTTGAGGCTTCAGGCTCTATTTCTGCAGGTCAGCAGTGATGGAGGGAGGTGGAGGCCTGAATTAGGGTCAGGAGCCAGTGTCTCACCCTCCTGGGTCCTGGCTGGGGCTGGCTGGGGTATAGAAGGTCCTCCAGGGGTTGTTCTGCCTGTATGCATGGCCCTGGCAGCAGAAGGAAGTATCCAAAATCTCCTGGGGAAACGAAGAGCGTAGAGACAGCGGAGGAAACCAGCCAAACCTCACAGTGTGTGGCCACATCGGACCTCAGCTCTGCCCATCAATAACACCATTTATTGTTTTTAGAGGGAAAAATGCACCTTTGTGAAAACAGCATTTCCCAAGCTGAATGCTGCTTCGGGGAGGGAGAGAAAGGGGTCTCTGCCTGGCTGGAAGGCACCGCGTTGCTGCCTTCTGGGCCCCTCCAGAGGCATCGCATTTCAGTCAAGTTGTCATTTCTGGTTACACTTCCAGCGCTTTCTGCTAACGACAGGCAGGGAACAAGCGGCCCTTTCTTCCCAGCTCTCCAACAGAGGCGGTGGAAAGCCGGGAGGGCTGCTGAGAGACATCGCATTGTGCCCTCCTGCCGCAATGTCCCCCGTGAGCGCCCGCGCAGCTCCATCTTGATAACTGCGC